AAGGTTCCACAAGAGCCTTGCGTGATGAGAAAAGGGAGTATTTTAGTGTTTTTCTATGTTGATGATATCATTTGGGCATATCGGAAAGAGGACCAAGAAGAAGCTAAAAGAGCTATGCAGGGTCTTCAAGAGCGGTATCAGATGACCTTATTGGGAGAACCTAAGTGGTTTCTAGGGATTCATATCATACGGAACCGGTCTCAACGGACGATTTGGCTGACGCAAGACGCCTATATCGACAAAATCGCCCACAAGCTTATGACAGACTTACCCATGAGGAAGCTGCCGGACACACCGATGACTAACGAAGAGCTTCTTCCTTCTCCTTCTTCGGACCAAGCTTCTAAGCAGGATATTCACCGATACCTTCAGAAAGTCGGATCTATCCTTTTTGCAGCTATTTCAACAAGGCCCGACGTTGCATTCGCAGTCTCCCGGCTAGCTAGACATAACCAGAACCCCACCGATTCACACCAACAGGCCGCAGACCGAGTCATCCTTTACCTCTTTAACACACGTTCTTATGCAATACAACTAGGGGGCCAACGAGACCAGAATTCGAATGCGGCAGAGATATTCCTTTGTTCAAGCGATGCTTCCTTCGCAGATAATACACTCGACAGAAAGAGCTCTCAAGGTTACGTTATGACCCTTTTTGGCGGACCTATTGCATGGAGAGCATCAAAACAAGCAACCGTCACTACTTCAAGCACCGAAGCCGAATTTCTTGCTATTTCAGAGGCAGCCAAAGAGGCTATTTTTATCAGCAGATTACTACGGTCGTTACAGTTAGCTATTCCGATCCCTTTACAGCTAGAATGCGACAACAGTCAGACGATACGACTACTCGAAGAGGATAACGCAAAGCTTTCAACACGGCTTCGTCACGTTGATATACACCAGCATTGGCTACGACAAGAGACTCAGCAAGGCAGAATTCGAATTCGTTGGGTTCCGACCGCAAAGATGCGAGCAGACGGCCTAACAAAGGCACTTTCATTGCAGAAGATACGAAGTTTTCAAAGATTGATTGGCATTATTGATATTCAAGAACGATTACGGCTTGAGACCCGAATGGAAGACTTGCGGGCTAGGATCAAGGACAAGCATGGGGGTGATTCCCTAGGACCTGCTGCTCTATAGTTCCTCCCTACTGGGCATTTGAGGAGCTTTCTCCCTAGACTGGGCATTTGAGGAGCTTCCTCCCTAGGCTGGGCATTTGAGAAGCTTTCTCCCTAGTGGGCATTTGAGGACTATTCACATGAGACGCGGAGTCTCCCTTCAATGAAGTTTTACCCCGAAGGGACCTCTCGAGACACTCAGACAGAGCTTTTGAGTTTACCTTGAGTTTTCTCCCTGACGGACCTCTTCAGAGGAAGGCTTCGAAGCTGTTTAGCTGAGCCTGAGGGGCAGCCACAGCTAAGGGGGTGTGTCGCGAAGCACGTCTGAGATCTTGAGCTCGGGGTGACCATAAGGGGTATACAGCTAAGGGCCCCGACGGGCTAGACAGAAAGGCAGCCTGCAGAGAGTTCTGAGGCTGCAGAAGACTATTAGGAGACCGCATTAGGCAGCCACACAGGCTGTAGAGAGACTGCATATACGGGGGAAGCTGAAAGAGCCCTCGGCGACTAGGGAAAGTCAGTATGCAAAGGGGGCTGGGAAAGGAGCCCAGCCCCCTAGATATTGTACCTATACAACTGAAAAGGGGATATCAATAGGGAACCAAGGGATATAAATAGGGAGCCTAGAAGAGGGCATTGCAAGAGGGACAGACACAACGGAATACAACAAATCATACCCATCGTTACACAATCAATGCCCACTTGCATGCTCTCTTCGTGAGAGAAGTAATTGGCATTGACTTGACGGCATTCGTTATCGCAGATACGGACAAGGTCCATAAATTGACTAATTTCGGTAGGAGTATCTTTGCCCTTAGTGAGAGAAAGTCTCCAGATAACGTTGTCGTGGAGGGCACGTCGGAGGTGAGCAATGAGCGCCCCACTATCCCACTCGGTGAGCTTGGCGACGGCATACCATTCGGGGAGGAATGTCGTAAGGGATCTATGGCCTTGTTTCATGTCAAAGATTTTGAGTTGGGCGGTAGCTTTAGCGTCAATATCCCCGAAGGCTGACTGAAGGGTGTTTTTATGGCATTGACATCGTCGAAGAGAACCACCCCATCTTTAATGTTGTAGCGGACTTGGTCATGTGCTTTGCCTTTAAGGCATGAGACGACATATCCCATACGTTGAGGTTCCGAGTTCCACCAATCTTTATTCATTTCGAGCTTCAACTCGAGGTGCTGGAGGAAATTCGGCAGAAGCGTGGGGTCCTCTCCGGTGAAGGCCTCAGGATCAGGGTGTTCTGGTGTGCGGTGTGAAGCTCCTTTGACTGAATGATCTTTATGTACGCTTCATTTTCTGCCATAAGACGGGCGATCATTGCGTCTCCATCACTTTTAGAAATGAGCGTGTTTTCTAGGCGGGTTTGGAGGTCCTCCATTGCCCTATTTGTCGTCGTGGTCGAGGCACGTAGTGAATCGATTACCGCTTGCATACTGTATGCGGCATTGCATACGAGGAAGACTTCTTTCATGAGACCGGCTGGGTTAGCAACAAAGGCATTTCGGAACGTTTCATCGGTATTGCTGGCGTTGAGGAGGGGGCAGGGGGGCACTCGATCGACGGGTGTGGGGTAGCGGTAGCCATTGGGTTGTTGACGGTGATGGCTATAGTGCAGGTGGCGTTCGACAGTTTCGTTACGTTTTAGTTGACTTTGCGATTGTGATTTGTTGGTTTGTTGGTTTGCTGATTCGTTGATTGGTGAATTTGGTGCGGTGGTGGTGGTTTAGGTGGAAATTTGGTTGCAGGGTGTTTTGGTGAGGTTAGAGGTATCGAAATCAATAGTCACGTCGCGGACAGTGGTCTATTGAGGAAGGGTAGTCGGTAGACAATATGTGACGGTACAAGTGCACGAACAAGGTCGAGTGCGACTTGGGTAAAGTGATTGTCTACAAGAGAGAAAGAGGTTCCTAAGGAAGACTCTGACTTTCGCTATTTACATGAATAAAAGCGGGACCTTTCATAAAGTATGAAAGTCACATGATCGTTCCCTCACAGTAATCCCAAGTAAGCAAAGCGTCGAAGAGCTGTCGTACAAAAGCTTTTGTCAGGTTTGCTTGTGTCCACGTATCAGTTTGTGACTGAACAGCATCTCCAACTATGGGGAGTGGCGATAAAGAAGCGACAGTCGGCAAAACCCGTATCGAAAGAGTTTCATTGGCTTCCACCAATACGCTGGGATAGCCAAACAAAGAGCGGCGTACCATCGAAGAGGGCAGATGAGTAAGGCAACCCGCACAGATGACTTCCCCCATGGCCGTATTAATGGGCTCAACTGGATATGCTATTCGTGGGAAGGCGTCTTGAGACGGACCGGCATTGTTTTCTTCTTCTCCAATGCCTTCAAGACGTCCTGACGCGATTTGTTGGCATCCTCAGTCGTTGAATAACCGCTCTGCACGTTTCATCATGGCTGAAAGAGAGGGTTTCGAGCAGTTTGTCCTTTCTCATGTTGCTTTCGTTTAACCGCTCGATTTCGGCCCGTAACTCGCGCTTTAATTTGCGCTGCGAGTCGTCGTAGAGGCATTCGCTATCAGCGTCCCGACATCGCCAGCAAGGGTTTCGTCCATCACACTATCAATCCCAGTTTCAGTACTATCATTCCGCTGGGAAACTTTGAATTGGAGTAAAGGCAAAGAAGTTGAAGAGTCCAATTTTTGTACTACCTTGATTCGTTTCTTGCGGCAACGCTCGCAAGCCTTGGGTACCTGGATTCGACGGGGTATATTCCGTTGTTGCCGCCCCGTAGATCGTTGGAGGAAAGGACTAGGCTGAAGTCGGGGTTGAATTTGTGGCATCCCTTTCATAGAAGCAACTGCAAAGTTCTATCGTCTCCCCGATCCACAATACTGAGGTTTGGGACACGGACAGGGTGGTTTTCCATATCTAAATATGGAAATACCCTTTCCATGAAGGCCCCCTTTCCGCTCCCTGTGCCCGATTTTTAGTCTCCCTGTGCACCTTACCGTACTTAGCAAGACTCCACACGTAGACGCGTAACACACCATAATACACACAATTGGCGTCGCGGCAAGCAGTGCCTCCTGATACAACACCACAAGCCAAAATAACTCGTGATAACCACCCACCTCGCAATACCACATCGCGTCTGCGCAGCTAAGTTTCCAGAGGCACACAACCGCCACAAAGCAGCTAATCAAACCGTTCTTTCGTCAAGATGCTTCTCCAGCCCCCGCCAAACAATATGCCACTCTTTGAGACCTTTGACGATGCGTTTGACGAGCTCCAGCGGCATGCGCGCTGCCAAGGCTACGCCATAGTTAAGTTCAAGCCAAGCAACTACGAACATGGGCTCCCACGCCGTTACGACATCGTATGCGCATGCGGCGGCCGTGAATACAAGTCAGCCTCGTTAGGGCTCCGGAAGACTGGCACTAGGCGGACTTCCTGCCCGTTTAGAGTCAAGGTTGTGCGCCTGAAGCTAGAGGAGACCTCTGGCGAGTCTCTGTGATGTGCCCAAGGCACAACCATGAGGCCAATAGGGCCGGTGCCTTCCCAGAATACAGGCGCCTTCATCCACATCAACTCCAGCAGGTTAAAGACTCGAGGAAGGTGCCTTCCATAAAGAGCTACTTGACGATGAGGATCGCTTCTTCTACCAGATTGTGGGCCTTGACCCTGCCTTGCGGCTTTGGGCACAACATTCACACCTCATGATGGCCGACGTAACGAACAACACGAATAGATATGGCCTCAAGCTGCTAGAGATCAATGGAATCACTGCCTTGGACTCTATCTTCCCTGTGGCTTTCTGTTTAATCCCTTCCGAAGCCACGAACGCATTTACCTGGTGTTTTATACAGCTTCGCGAGTGGTTACAGTCAAAGGCAAGGCTAAGAGGCGAGGCTGACGGCAATGCCTTTATCCCACATTATCATCACTGACTATGACGCTGCTGCGCGCGCTGCATTGACGGCTACCTTCCCGGACTCGCAGCTACAGGTCTGTACGTGGCATATCATGAAGAACATCACTACAAATGCGAAGAAGCGCTGGCTTGGCGACTATGACGATGACGACCCATTTGACCCGCCGCAAGAGCCCCAAGGCGATGAAGACCCCGGGCGCTCTGCTGCTGCCGGAGCCACTGCCGGAAAAAGAGGCCCTTGTGCCTTCACAACAGCTTTCCGGTCCGTAATGTATGCCCCGACCGAGGACGAGTTCAACAGCCGCTGGGACATCGTCAAAGGCGCCTTCTCAGACCAGCACATTATTCTTAGGTATGTGGAAGAGGTCTGGATGCCTGTACGAACACAATGGGCGCGCGCTTGGGTCTGCCGTTACCGCAACTGGGGCCACACAACGACCTCGCCTTGTGAACCCCTTCACTCAAGCTCTCGCACCTTCCTTCGCAACGGCCAGTCGAATCTGCTTGAATTATATCATGCCTTGCAACTACAAGCCTCAACCTCACGAGAACACCATGATCGGACCGTTGAGCGCGAATCACGACGGACTCGCGACCCGTTCCGGCTACCATTATAAGATACCTGGGTTGCCGCCGAATACGCCGTCACAGGAGTAAGCAAAGCTGTAAATTTATGTGCTACGAAGGCTGTGCTTGGAGAGGATTGCAAGCAAGCCAGCAATTCCCCTTATTAATCGTCATCCAAAAGGCTCCTGTTCGCTCCTGTGCATATGATCAAATGGCTCAGACTCTCAGTTAGAAAAACCCCATCCCCGTTTTGCTGACCCATAAGAGAGCCAAATTGTCACATTGAGAGTTTCTGCAAGCAGGCGAATGTATGACCAGTCAATTCAATGCTTCCTGGGCAGTCACAACCTGGCCAGCACGCCGGGCAGCGTCAGCAGCCCGAGCAGCCATAGAGCCATCCGTGCGACGCCGGATATCATTGAGATCAAAGGACGCATCAAACATGATGCCATTCAACGTCTTGGCGCGCGAGACGGCGACGTAGGTGAGGCCAGACTGGAAATCGCGATGGGATATATCGGCAACAACCCATTCAAGCGTAGCACCCTGTGCCTTGTGCACAGTGATGCTATATGCAATTGTCAAGGGAAACTGAGTGCGAGAGCAGGCATACTACCCTTGATGAAGTCCCGCCAGGAGCGAAAGATAGGCTGGACGTTGGCTAGCTCAGGGTCGTCGAAATAAGGGGGGCCGGTATAGCGATCGAAGCGGACCATAATGACAAAGGGATGATGAGCTTGAGGATCCTGTACGTGATCCTCATAGGCAAAGTCATATATGGTCCCCAGTGCACCATTAACAAGGCTAACATCAGTCCAGACGTTCTCAGTCAACATAACTCTTGCCCCAATGCAAATGGGTAACTGGTTATGTAAGTTGCCAGCAGTCATAGAGTCAGCTTCGGCGGCTTTTGGACCGACATTTGTTGCCCGAACCTGTATGCAAGGCACAGCTAGGCGTTCCATATGATCCCTATTGAACTCGCGGACCTGGGCATTCGTTGTGTAGATGCGTACTGCCCCGTCAAAGCACGTAACCTCGGCTAAGGTCAGATTGGCCTGGACGCGGGTGCAGAGCAGCTCCCAGTCTAGGACAGTAGGAGCATTTATACGTAGGCTCTGAAGAGCAGTGCGAAAAGGAGCCTGCTCTTCGCCCTGCTGACGCAACACTTGTCGTAACACAACTGTCTTGTCGAATGCCAGGTAGGCATTGCGGCCATTGATATCAGGTAAAGCCGTGAGCATAGACGTAGTAAAGAGCGGCTTCTCCATAACAGGTGGAAGCTGGTAGAAGTCGCCGAGCGACAAAACGCTACGGCCGCCGAAAAAGGTGTCTTGATATTCGGGAAATATTTGTCGGAGGCGGCTATCAATGTAGCCAAAAGTACGCAAGCCAATCATTGACTTCTCGTCGATAATGAGGTAGCGGAGGTTGCGTAGCTTTGACTGTAGGTTGGCAATGTCTGTAGGGCCTAGCAACGGCAGCTCCGTTGAAGATTTGGTAAGAGGGAGTCGTAGAAGGGAGTGTAGTGTAACGCCGCCAATTGCATTAGCAGCCACACCGGTAGGGGCAGCCCGAGCGAAGCAGGTTGGAGATAGCTGCCCAAGACGTGCACAGAGCGCTCTGATCATAAAGGATTTACCTGTGCCACCTTCTCCGTCTACCTGCACAAGGAGCGGTGCCGGGTTTGGCTGTTGAGGGTCGAGAGCCTTCTCAAGATGTCGAGTAAATAGGTCAAACACAGTGCGCTGCTCGACGTTAAGCTGATCAAAGAGGCCATCAGGGACATCATCTTGGTTGTTGCCTAGGGGGTGTGAAGCTTTAAGCTCCTTCCAATAGTCATGCCCCAGAATGGCTAAATCCGGATACTTGCCAATGTAGGGCTGCCAATCGTGAGCAAGGTCAAAATCGCGATTCCCAGTAAGTCAATGTCATCTTCATCTGGACCACGATTTGGAAGCACTGCAGCAAGCTCTTCCCAACCCTCAGCCGCAACATCTTCCTCGTTACGCGGTTCTTCCTGGAATTCCTCTTCGACTGGAGGAGGGAGGTCCCCGTAGTAGTCGTCTGGATGAACGTCGTGGACAGCAGAGCAATGGTCGTATGCCCCAGAGAAGGTGTCGAAAGGGCGCCATCTACCTCTTTGAGTTCCTGAGGGTCGCGATGAGGATGGTGGAGGGTTAACTTGACACGACAAAAGTCCTCGTACTGCTCGTTACCGCGGAGGGCCTTGTACCGAGGGAATAGCTCAACACACGGTCAGGGCTCGGCTGTAGTAGTGCCAGGCTGCCGGGCGTGTAAAGTCAACTTTGGTGAGAAGCTCAAAGTAGGTCAACTGCGCCCATTGATCGTTGCGAGCGAGGTATTTCTGATATATATTCCTTGAGGCCCGAATACCATCAGCAGCTTCATCTACAATAGCTGCCTGCCATTGCTCTTGAGGAGGGCGGCAGTCAACCGATCGTACAGTCCTCGTGCTTTGCTGGAGTGGTAGGCTGAGCAGCAGGTGGTTAATCTCCATAGCAGACCAGTCACGCTCAGCCGTAAGCTTGTTCATGAACTTGGCGACGAAGCTGACGAGACCCTGTCGTGCATTGACTCTAGGCAAGATGGCCCTGGCGACGTCGCGGTAGCTCTCCGTCTGCTTCTCAGCTTTAGAGCAGTACTTGCCGAGATAGTTAACAACTGCATGAAAGGAGGTGCAGGGAGAAATGTCATGATTTGCAAGCCAGCCAATAGCCAAAAGGGGATTGAAGTTGTTAAGCAGAGGGTCGTTGCGTGCGCCATCATACACAAGGAATGTCGGGTTAAGGCCATGTGTGACGTGGGCCTCGGCATGGGAGGCGCGAGGGGAAGTGGAATCGACATAGCTTTTCCCTTGACAGAGAGTTGTCAGGCAGTCGGCGGTGTCGCAAGCAATAGAGCTCAGAACAACGATGGCGTTGTACGCGATTAACAACCTCAGCGAGGAACTGGAAAGTAGGCGGCGGTCGGACTAGTACCAATGGATTTGCGTCGCCTTGCTGCATCACACGAAGCGGCTCTGGGTTAATGGCAGAGACATAAGGGGCCCAGAACCGGGCAAACTCAGCTTTGCCTTCGAGAGTAGACATATCAGGCTTTGGTGTATCCCTAACCCAATAAAGGCCGTGCACATGCGTGCTGCCACGGGCCTGCCATTCGTAGCGAAACCAATAGTCGGTAATGTTGAACTTTGGCATCGATACTATCTTAAGGAAGCTAGTAAAACGGCTGTGAAAGTGATATGCTGCGATATGAGGGTTTTCAAGGAGATTCCGGAACGCAATAGCACCCTTACCACGGCTATCAGCCTCACGCCATTCAACATATGACGGCATGTGTCTCTGGAGGCTATCCCAGTGAAGATCAGCAGCTGAGAAGGTGAGGAAGACACCAGGACAGGTAAGGCCGTGGACGAGGGCCTCAAGCTGATGTCTCTGGCCGCCCCAGTAAGCTCGTGTGCCTTTTAAGCTGCTTGAGAAGCGCACAATGGAGCTCAGGAGTGCACGAGATTCCGGGTATCTTCCTCAAAGGCATTGCGTAATTCATCCATGTCAACTCGCTGCTGCAGGCCAGGCCTCTTCACAAAGAAGGAACTGTGAGAGTTAACCTGTTGCCGCATAAGTGTGTTAAAAGCAACATATCGAAAGCGTGGATGCCTAGCAAAACGACCATCATGGTATCTCACGGCGTGTGCGATATACTCATCGTACCGAATTGTCCTCTGACGAGGTGCCACAAAGTCTGCCTGCCCAGTAGGGTAAAGGGTAGGAAAGGCGAGAGACAGCAGAGGCTGGGAACGATTGAACTCATTGAGAGGCGTAGATCGGATATTAGGCATCTCGATGTGGGCCTGGCGCAGAGGGATCTGCTCGGGCGGTACGGGTTCGTGATCCTCAAGCTGAGCCCGGAGACGCTCAAGGTCAGCCTGCGCTGCAATGAAGTTTGGGACTGCTGCTGCATCGTAGTCGTCGATGCCAGCTGCATCAGCATTCTCAACAGCCTCAGGGTCAGGGTGCTCTATAGGATGTTGCTCTGCTTGCACGCCCTCAGGCACAGCGACTTCCTCGGCAAGCATTTGATCAACCACATCACCGTCGTTTGGTAGCTGACTTAGGCGTTCAGCGTCAATAATGATATCTCGATAGCCAGGGTGGTTAAGTTGAAGGTGCTCCAGCCAGACGCGAATGTGACCTTGCCGAACACGGAATTGACGTCGAAACTGCCGGACGACGTGTGGCTGGTTCGTTGAATCCCGTGGGCGTAGTATGATGATGTCCAATTCGCGCGGCAGAAGAGGAAGCTGCGTATAGACGTGGCCAATATCCCGTAAGAAGTTAATGACATGACCACGATACTTATACTGCTGGCCACGGTACTGGAAAACCTGGATGTGGACATGCACCCGCGCAATGAGCATCTCCTCGACTTGGGATAGTTCTGGGAGCTCGTTGGGAACGCTGCCGAGATCCAGGTTATTTTCCTGGGAGAAGAGGAAAGGTTCGTGAGGCTGCCTTTTCCCATCGGCGTCACGACGACGGCAGGCAGAACAGACATCATTCACAAGGACCAGGTTGAACCAGGACTCCTTGCATCGACTGCAATACTCAAGAGACTCAGATTCAAGCCTGTCGTTCCACAGATTAAGGAGGTCCTGATCACTCTGAGAAATGGCCTGTGCGTTGAGATCGCCGGCAAAGGGCCCAACGATGTCCAAAGGAGGAACGTCTTCATCGGCCTCGTTGCCTTGGATAGATTGTAGGCTTGCAGGGACAGAAAGGCCAATGCGAGGAACCAGGGACAGATTCAAATCGCCTGCTGCAAAAGCAGAAGAGGCTGGAGACGACACGTTAGAAGGGCTGCTTGACTGCGGATAAGAGAGATGAGAATGTGTTGCTGACCGCGGAATGGAGAGCGCAAGAAATGAAGGGACGGGAGACGAAGGGGCCGGCTGCATAGAAAGCAACTGGGAGGTGCGTTGCGTTGCGGATGGCTCATGGCCTTGCCGTCTCTCTATACGATGATGTCGACTGATGGCAACTTGGCGGGCGTGTGCCCTTGCATGGCCTGGACTATCCTCTGGCCGAATGCCCCGAAAGAACCTCCTAGGGGTCCGAGTGCGAGGCTGTAGTGGAGGTAGGCGTAGCGGAGGCGGGGCAGGACGAGGCTGCAGAACAGGCAGAGCAGGCAGAGCTGAAGGTGTCTGTGTAGCTGTAGGCCTACGCGCCGTTGGACTCTGCACATCCACGCTTGCATGTCGTTTGTGGATCGCTGAAAGGCCTCGAGTAGCTGCCATTAAGCGTTGAGCCTAGGTGAAGGAAGATTAGCAGACAAATTGGGGAAAGGAGGCAAAGGAGAAACGCACACCACGATTATAAACCTGACGACAGGGAGACATTTTCTAGTGCGCCTAGACGGGTCAATCAGATGAATGAATTGATCGTCTTGCTTGAACTGGTGGCATTGAATGCAAAGACGATGGGGAAGGGTATTGGGTAGATCTGAAAGGCCCCAGTGGGAGGAGGATCCTCGGAGGAGACGGAGACGGCATATAGATGTCATATAGGCAACTTTCTAGATGATTAATTTACCAGATTTCGAAAGGAGGACTAACGTCAAAGGAAACAATGCCAAAGGATTCGAAAAGAAGTTCAATGTCAAAGGATATCAAGAATCGAAATTTTCAAGAGTAAATTGGGACTTTCCCCTGCGCGGGGCCCTGGGGCTACGCCTGCGGCCGGCATTTTCGCCTGCAGCGGGCTTTTCGCCTGCGGCGCTGCATGCCACGCGATTCTTGCGGCGTGATTCTTAGCATCATATTTGCCAACAGCAGGCATTTCTACAGCTCAAGCTCCAGATGCAACAATGCATTAATATAAGGCGCGCGCTGTGTGACGTCTGTTGCGGCAAAAGGTGCCCTCTCCACGGCAAAGGCACGGGTAAACTTTTTGGGCCAATCAGGAGCACTCTTTACGGTGTGAATAAATTTACTGCGTACAGTATACATGAGCTCTGACCAATCATAACGTTGCCCACGGATAAACTCTGGGTAAATCTGACCAATGATGGTTCTGCAAATTGTGAGTAGGGCCAATCAAAACGCTGGGCTAGCAAAACAGTGGAACGCACTTTTTCCTCAGTAAAGAAGCACAGCTGAATCTGCGCACTGCGTGTACTTCGTCACTTCGTAGCACAAATTTACAGCTTTGCTTAATGAGGAAGCCGTCGAGAAGGCGTCATATCGGTCTCTCGAGCTTGTACAGAAACAGGCACTAGCCGCCTCGGCCGGCCTCCTCAAACCACAAGAGCGGCCACTTGGGGAATGTGGGACTAGCTTCACTGCCCAATACGGGCTGCCCTGCAAGCATATTATCGCCTCGTACCTCCAGGTCCAAGGGGAGGGGACTAGCCGCAAAGCTATAGCTACAAGACCCTTGCCCTTGAACTTGTGGGACAACCACTGGCTTCTACGGCAGGATCTTGCCGTCACAGACCCATACAGACGAATTCGCGATCCTCGAGTCATTGCCCGGCGCCGCAGACCAGCCAGAGCCATTATCCATAGCCTTTGCACCTGTGGCCACGACTGCAGCCGTTGCAACAGCCGCTGTAACTACACCTGTGGCCTCGTCAGCAGCAGCAGCAGCAGCTACCCCACCAGCTTCGCAACAGCCACAGCCTCGCGGGCAACAGCAACAGCGGCAGCCAGTCTTGCAGACAGTGCTTTCGCGGCTTGAGGCTATTGGCAACTACCTTGGCATTGGGCCGGCTATAGCTTCGTGGCCGGTGTCAACACCACAAGCAACGTCAACGCCACAAGCCGACATCGTGATCCGTCAAAAGCCTACACAGCCGACCTCATACCAGCAGCCGCAGACTTTCCGGCGCTCAGAGTCTGCCACCCAACTTGCGGCGGCTACCTCCGCCTTCGAATATCACGAGCCGCCGCGGCCGCCGCCTCAAGGAGGGTCTCAACGGGGGCATCGCGAGCGCCCTCGTCTCTTTACCCTTGTTACGGGGTCAGCACTGTTGGCACAGGTGCTGGGCGTAATTGATGTAAATTGAGCTACAAAGAGTGTAAAGGGGAGACGTGTCTACATCGCTCCTTTAGGAGTCGTGTCCGTGGCGCTCGCACGTGCTTCACAGTACTCCGTCCATGAGGTCATTCTATTCATCAGGTCCAACACGAGCTCGGAGTAGTACTCATCACGGAACATAGTCTCTACGAACCTCCGTCCACCCTCGTCTCTTGCACGTCGGGTGCAGTTGTCGGCCGACAACTTCATACTTCGACTTGCAATAGCACCTAGAGAGCGTACCTGGTCTGATATAGCAATACCATATCCTATATTCTCAGATAGCTTGCATCTCGGTTCGACAGCAGATAACATCTGTTGGCACAGGTGCTGGGCGTAATTGATGTAAATTGAGCTACAAAGAGTGTAAAGGGGAGACGTGTCTACATCGCTCCCTTTAGGAGTCGTGTCCGTGGCGCTCGCACGTGACTAGTCTGGCCATGCCAGATCTACACATCGGGGCGTAGCCCTTACATTAGCCCCTACTCCTCTCTGGCGCTGGTGCCCTTTTCCTGTCCCTGGTCCCCTACAACGATCGTAGGGCCGTCGTCTATAGGGTCTGGTGCCGTTACTATCGACGGGGCGTCGCCATTAGTCCTAGCCCGTAGTGGTCCGCGTATTCTCTTGCCCTGTATCTGCAGCTGTGGTTGTATTCCTTCGACTTGCCCCTGGATTTGGGCCGGCTGTGCTTCCGTTGCCACTCGTCGGTGCTGGTATGGTCCCTCGTTTTCGAGAGCCGGGCCGTATCTCTGTTCGTACTTATCCAAGGCCGCTGTCTGTTGCATATTGTCTAAAGAGGTCCAGGTCGGGTCTTGCCAACCTTGCCAGCGTACAAGGACTTCCGCCTACGGCCGCGGCCGGTTCTCTTCCACCTAGCGCATAGTATTTCCTCTACTACTTGGTGAGCCTCCCGTCTACTTGGATAGATGGGGTTGAGCGTCTGTGCGTTGCTGACCAGGCATTGGGTCCGTCCCCGCTCTCCGGAGTTGGTCGACGTGGAACCTATTATAGCAGCCCCTCGGGAGGTCTGCTAGTTCAACCGTGTACGGGTCGAGTACCTTGCTTATCGTATACTTAGCGTGCAGCCAGTCGAACTTCTTCTTAGGTCGCTCTGACGCGTAGTTCCGTAAGTCAAGCCAAACCTTATCGCCTACTTCGAAGCGTTCTGCCGCGTTCCGTCGTCTGTTAGCGAAGCGTTCTTGTTGCTGCGTAGCTGTCGCCATTGATGCTTGGCAGAGGTCCGTAATCTGTTGTAGTTTGGTAACAACAGTGTTGCTAATAATATGACAATAAAGTAGTATACTGCAGTATATACAATACAATACGCGATTTCTCATATTGTACCAATACAATATGCTCGCCGTCATATTGTGACGATACAATATAGCGCCTTCCATACTGGCAATATATGGCTTGTATTGTTTGTATTGGTTGGTAGTCATTCGCCTTTCCGTTCCCCAATTCGCGCCAATATGATGACGCGTCAAAAAACACGCGTAAATATAAGCATGTTCTATGTATTGTTTTTCGTCTGGCGGACCTCCAGGACGTAAAAGTTTCCTATTGGCGCACGGAAACGCGTAAATGTATGTATAAATCCAGACCTACAGGGTAGCGGCTCGCCGTCCAAACACTGTTTTCCTCCTCAACCCCGCTTTCCCACCCCAGGACTTACAAGCAATCTCGATGCCTCAACAACGCCTGCCTTTTGTTCAAACATCGCCGCGACGGGATTCGTCAATATCAGACGAATACTCGGAGATTTCCAGCCCACGGTTGCATGATCCAGATGAGACCCAAACCACTGAATGCCAATCGTCGCAACCTCGCACGGCCTCCATAAACCCTTCGGCCAAGCCAAGAACATCATGGGTCTTTTCTCATATGCCAGACGAGGACATAGAGACGAAATACTACAATCAGCGGACCGGAAAAGAAGAATGGCGCTGCAAACACTGTGACAAAACGTATTGCTGTTCCGGTGGAACTGCGGCCCCAGCCAAGCACCTTACGGATCCTCCTCCTGACGGTCACGGCCTCCCAAAGGCGCGCCACGAACTGCCAAAGTCACGAATATACGAACTATTCTCGAGATAGCTCGTGTTACGGCCAAAGAACATCCCCGAAAACGCCGTCGGCTCAACGATCAATCCGGAGACTCGATCGACCCAGACCAGCTCGAAGCTTTATACGTAAGGTTTATTACGTCCTGTTCTCTCCCATTTAGGCTTGTGGAATGCCCAGAATTCCGAGCATTCTTAGCCTACCTCAACGCCGATATCGATACTTGGCTTCCAGATACACACGAGACCATCAAGAAATGGATTATGCGGCAGTACGAAGGTCAGAAGGAGAAGGTCAAGCAGCGCATCCAGTCAGCAAAGTCAAAAATTCATATCAGCTGCGACCTATGGACTTCCCCCAACTCTTTGGCCATCTTAGGCGTAGTTGCTCATTACGTTGCAGAAGACAGTCAGTTGGAACACCATGTCTTGGCTTTGAAAGACATCGACAGTGAGCACGACGGATATCACCTGGCAAGGGCAATTTTGGAAGTGGTTGATGACTGGGGTTTGCTTCCAACCTTGGATATTTTGTGATGGACAATGCAGGCAATAACGATACAATGATGAGATCTCTTTCCTTGGTAAGTACGGCGCACTGTTTTTCTGACTGGCCCTAACATTTACAGGCCTTCTACGTCGATATGACATTCGATACGATCCCAAATCTCACCGACTCCGCTGCCAAGGTCACATTATCAACCTTGCCGCCAAAGCTTTCCTCTTCGTTACCGATAATGAGAAGCTCAAAGACGACGAACGTGATGGGCATAATGTGACACTAAAAGAGATCGAGGCGTGGCGGAAAAGGGTCCCCTTGGCAAGCTCCACAACTTCGTGGTTTTCGTCCAAAGTAGTGTTCAGCGTCGCCAAAAGTTTCTGGCCATCAGCCATAATCGCAAGCTTGCGCGAGATAATGACACGAGGTGGAGTTCGTGGTACACCATGCTACGAGCGGCCTTGCATCTTAGAGGCGCAGTCGAGGGATATTTCAACAAATGGGTGGAAGGAGATTGTGCCGGAGACGAGCTCTCCCGAGGAGTGGGTCATCCTCGAGAAGATCAAGTCTTTCTTGGAGAAGCTTAAAATGACGACAAAGGCCCTTGAGTCATCGTTTGCAACTCTTGACAATGTTCTCTTGGCTATGGACTTCGTATTGGCGCAATTCGAAGCAGGAAAAGAGGCACATATCGACGATCCGATTATGGCACCAATGTATAACTCGGGCTGGGCGAAGATGGATAAGTACTATTGTCTTACTGACGAATCGCCTGCCTACGTCGCTGCGATTGTGCTTCACCCTTCGCATAAATGGCACTACATACACGAAAACTGGAAGAAGGAGGGCTGACTCGTCAAAGAAGCTGATGGAGACACTGTGGGATGATTATAAACCTGTGGAGCCGCCTTCTCTATCTGAGGTTCCGTTGACGACCACGAACGAGTTCTTGAATTGGAGAAACAAGCACCTACAACCAGCACTTATCACAGACGAGTACGAGCGATATTGTAAGTCTGAACGGGTTTATGGGTTCACAAGCGCCCTCGCATGGTGGCTGGAGGAAACACAGCAAAAGAACTACCCATACCTGAGCAAAATGGCGGTGGATATACTGTCAATTCCCGCAATGTCTGCTGAGCCCGAAAGACTCTTCTCTGGGGCAAAAATAACCATCACAGACCGTCGAAATCGACTTGGGAGTGATGTAATTCAGGCATTGGAGTGCTTGAAGTCATGGTTTGGGATACAGGATTTTCAGGGTGACGATATTTCAGCAACGACGGTTGAATAATGAGGGTCACGTGGGATATACGGGATATATTGTTTTACTGGCAATATATTTGGTCACTGGCAATACAATACAATATGGACCAATGCCATATTGCGCAATACAATACGCACCTCTTGACAATACAATAATATTGCGAGGGGTCCATATTGCCAATATACGTATTGTTTATATTATTAGCAACACTGGGTAACAAATTTCTTTGCCCTGGTTTCTGGCGAATGCTGAGGATACTCTTCCGCATATGCTTCCGTAACGAGGGGAACTGGTGACTTCGGCTCATAGCCGTGTATAGCGAAGAATGGGGACATCCCTATAGAGGTATTGACCCGACCGTTTAACGCCATCTGAGCCGCGGGAACCCACTTATCCCAGTCGTTCTGGTTCTGGTTAATCACGGCGCGGAGGTATGCCTGTACTTCTTGGTTCATCCTCTCAGGGCCTCCGTCGGTTTGGGGGTGGTACGCCGTGCTTAGCTGCTGGTCGATCCCCAGTAACTTGCACATGTGCCTCCAAAAGCGGCCTACCCAATTCGAGCCCCTATCGCTCGTTATAGCGTCGGGCCACCAGTGGTAGCGGGCGAAGCACCATAGAAAACGCTCTGCACATGCTTCCGCTTCCATCGTTGGCATCGGTTCGAGTATAACTTCCTTACTTAGCCGGTCCTTGATAACCCAGAGGCAGCGGTTACCGTTCGCAAGGGGAGGTCCGTAATAAAGTCCATCTGTATCTGGCGGAAGAAGCGGTCCGGTACGGGTAGCGGTCTAAGTAGACCCTTTATGCTCGCGCCATATCTTCGTACGGCCGCAGACATCGCAGTTACGCAAGAAACGTCGGATATGCTGTTGCATTAGCGGCCAGTAGAAGTCCCTGGATACGGCTTCTATCGTCCCTTCCGTCCCGGGTGGCCTACTACATGGGAGTCATGAACCTTCTGGATTAAGGAGCCCCGTAATTCGTTTAGCGACTCCTGCTCTAGCGGTGCTGCCTTGGCTGCTGCTTCTGTCGTGATCGGTGCGCCTGGCACCCATAAGCGGCCACGTAGTCGTAGGTGCCCCCGAGGATCAATAAAGCACTCGGCGACTTGTACCTTCAGCTTAAGCTTGGGGTCGAGGACCGAGATCCGTTTCGTACCGCGTTATAAACGCTTGTAAAGACTGGATCCTGGTTTGCCGTTTGCTGCCATAATTGTTGTAGCTCTGGGTCGTGGAAAATCGTGTGTTCTTCTTCGCCTTCTCCCGCTTGAGTCGACGTTACTCCGACGTAGGTACGTAGGGCTGCTTCTGGAATAAGCTGCATATCTCGTGCTTCGTGATCCGCTTCGTTTGGTCGGTCCTGTTCGCGGCGAGAGAGCGCGTCTGGCACCACTGCTTCCGTCCCGGACGGTACTGGAGCTGGAAGTTAAAACGCGAGAGATATTCAGCCCAACGTGCCTGCCTTTCCGAGAGCTGTTGGCGCGTCATGAAATACTCGAGGTTCTTATGGTCGGTAAGGATAACGAAGTTATCACAGCTTCGTAGCTCGGCTGACCATTGTTCGAGACAACGAATAATAGCGAGCATTTCCTTATCATGGATTGGGTAGTTGCGCTCAGCCGGTGATAGCTTCTGCGAGTGGAACGCTACTGGCTTGCGTTGTCCGTCGACTTCCTGCGTAAGTGTGCCCCAAGCGCCCAGCCGCTACAGTCTGCTTCTACGAAGGTTGGCCTCTCGAAATCCCATTGAGTAAGAATAGGGCGTTCGTAAATAGCGTCTTTAGTGTCTGGAACGCCATATCGTGCTCGTCCGTCCACTTGAACTTAGTCCCCTTTCCTGTTAGTGCTGTTAGGGGTGCAGTTATTTCCGAGGCTTGCGGTATAAATATCCGGTAGTAGTTAACGAATCCTAGAAAACTGCGCAACCCCTTCTGGGTAACGGGGACTGCCCACTCGACTATTGCTCGTATCTTGTCGGGATCTGCCTGAATGCCAATTCCTGCGTGAATAATGAATCCTAGGTACTTAATCCGCTTGACTCCAAATTCGCATTTCTCCGGGTCTAGGTGTAGTCCATGCTCGGCGAGGCGTTCTAAAACTAACCGTACCTTCCGGAAATGGTCTTCTCTGCTCCCGCTCGAATAGATAAGTATATCGTCCATATAAGCAGAGGCGAACTCGTCGAGGTAGTCTCGTAGGATACCGTTAATATACCGCTGGAAGGTTGCTGGCGCGCCACTTAGCCCGAACGGGGTAACCATCCATTCGAAGAGACCGTACCGGGTGCGGAACGCTGTCTTCCACTCGTCTCCTTCTGCAACCCGTACTTTATGGAACGCTTGTACCACGTCGACCTTCGTGAACCACTTCGCATCTTTTAGGTTGCGAAGTGTGTCCCCTATTAGAGGAAGGGGGTAACGGTCCGACTTAGTGATTGCGTTCAACGCTCTGTAGTCACAACAGAATCGCAGCCCGCCACCTGGTTTCCTCACAAACAGGACTGGAGCTGCTGCTTCTGAACTGCTTGCACGGATAAATCCTTTATCCACTAGGTCTCGTAGAGTCTTCTTAAGAACCAGGAGTTCCTCTCGTGACATACCGTATAGTGCTCCATACGGTAGTGGTAACTGCTGGCCATTCGGGTCCTCCTTGATTCTGATTTCGTGGTCTATGCCTGGCTTATGAGGATTCAGCTTATCAGCTTCCTTCTTCATAAATAGAGGCAGTAAATCGTGGAACCGCTGGGGTATCGTTCGGCGTAGCTCTGCTTCTGACATGGGTTTCTTTGGTGATAACGCCCTTTCGATATCCTTCATGCTGATAGCGAAAATCGCCGTGGCAGCTGCCTCTCTTCCTTCCTGCTTGCGGATCCTTTCAAAGTAACCCACAAAGGTACTGGCTAGTACGTGCTTTGCTTCTTCGAACTCCTTGGCTTTCGCAGAATATTCTCCTTCCCCGAGGTGATCTACCCAGTCTTGTGTAGGTTCATGCCATAGTCGTTTCTCGTGGGGCACTGAGTACGACTTTGTGTGGCATAACCAGGGTTTTCCTAGGATTAGGGGGAATTCCAATCGGGGCACCACGTAGGCACAGATCGTCTGTATGTGGCCGTTGACCTCCATTGATAGCCATACGAGGCCCCTAATCGTTGCTCCTTCCATTGCCCCTGATGCTCCTGTAATAGCTCGCGGTGCTATTTCCACTATAGGAACTTCCAACTTCTCGACGACTTCTTCGTCAACCGCGGCGTAGCACTGGCATCCCTCGTCTACGAGTGAGGAGAAGAGATTGGTCCTATTGATAATGCTTCGAATTATTGTAGGACCAACTTCCATTTTTCCTGAGAACTTCTCTTCTTTGCCACTGCTCCGTTCTTTGGCCTCGAGACCCGTCTTTGTTTCGAGGCTACGCATTTCCGAGAGGATGGGGTCTCGCTAAGTCCTGACTCTTCCTCACTAGAGTCGTTACCATCATCTTCCAGCAAGGGCATGATCCTAGCGGTGCGGACTTTACATCCCTCGACCGGCTAGGGTCCTGTCCTGGCGAGTAGGGGCAAGCGGCAATGAAATGGGTGTTGTCGCCGCAGCGGAGACAACGACCCTCGTCACGGCGTTTATTCCGTTCGTCCTCGGATACCCACCTCGCCCGTTGCTTCCGTCCTGACCTAGGCTGGAAGCGAACCGTCTTGCTCGTTCCACTTGACCCCTGGCCGTTCGCCCGTCCTCTCTGACCCTGCCCCTGAGTGCGTGTAACCGTCATTATTACGTCGCCGTCATGGTCGCGTGCGTCACGTGCGTTCTGCTCGGCGGGTAACGTTGCTGACGGTGCCGGGGTGTTGTCGTTACCGGCGACCTGGATGTTGCCGATGCCTGATGCCTGCCCTTGGTCACGTTGCCCGCGGGAGCCCTGCTTCCTCTGCAACGCCTTAAACTTCGCGGTGTGCTCGAACGCCCAAGCAATCGGGTGTAGACGTTGGATGTACTCGTTGTAGTCCTTCGGCATGATAACCGGGACTAGTTGCTCACGGAGAGCAGGAGAGATCGAGTTCCGTAGCCATGCGAGCTTGGAAGCATTATCCCAGCTCGCGCCGCCCGCTTTGGTCAATGTTTCCTCGAATTCAGGAGGAACTTCCCAAACTCTTGGCTGTCTCGTTGAATGAGGGTGCGCAGCCTGTCCTGCGCCCTCTCTGTCTGCTGCACGCTGCCGAACGTCTGGGCTAGGTGCGAGAAGAATTTCCGGGGGTCTGGGTTGCCCTTCGCGCTCTCTTGCCTCCAAAAACCCTCGACTCTCCTCATCATCTGATCCGGCAAGGTCTGCAGGATCTCGTACCACACGACGTTGTTATTGCCGTTTAGGCCCTCCTCTTCGTCGGTATTGTACTTAAATACCAGACGGTCGAGGTAGAAGTGGAAGGACTCGGGTTGACCGTTCCACTTCGGCCAAGTCATCGGCTTGCGCTTCTTGCCACGGTCCATTTCCTGGGCTGCTTCCGGCCTCGGTTCGACGGGTAAGATCGCCGGGGTACTGAGCACCCCCGGGCTGGGTGTCAACGGTGGCGCTGCTAGGCCTAGCCCGGTGAACATCTTCCGCAGTTCTTCGTCTCCCGCGATCCCAGATAAGATCTGCAAGAGCTCTTGCTCCTTCCTCCATCGGCTCGTTGCGCCGCCGGTCGCGGTGCCCTGCATAACTACTATTGTCCTCCATCTTGTTCGTCCGTCTCGTCGTCCGATCGATCGTCCGTCTCGTCGTTTAGCCTATCGCCTGTCTTGCTGTCTGTCCTGCTGACTGTCCTGCTGTCTGTCCTGCTGTCTGTCCTGCTGTCTGTCCTGCTGTCTGTCCTGCTGTCTGTCCTGTCTTTTGTTAACTGGTAGCTCAATATGTTACGGGGTCAGCACTGTTGGCACAGGTGCTGGGCGTAATTGATGTAAATTGAGCTACAAAGAGTGTAAAGGGGAGACGTGTCTACATCGCTCCCTTTAGGAGTCGTGTCCGTGGCGCTCGCACGTGACTAGTCTGGCCATGCCAGATCTACACATCGGGGCGTAGCCCCTTACAACCCTTGGGTCCTCGACCCCTCTTTCCAGCACCCTTGCATCAGTGGAAGGAGGATTCATGCCGCTCCCGGCCAGACTTGCAAATAGATAAATCAAATCAAATCCGGGGTCCAATTTGATTTGATTTGGATAGCAAAATCATGGATCTGATTTGATTTGATTTGATTTGAATCGATTTGGATCTCATTTGGATATCTGGATAGCCCCACTTTTTTCCCACGACAAAATACATTGAGCCGCTCCTATAAGGTCCGCTTTGATAAGGTCCGCTTTGAGGCGGCCTCTCTGAGCTGCGGCCATCTGTCCGGCAAGGCTAAATATTCTCTCCGGCTCTGAAGACATCGCCGGAATGGAAAAGAGGTCGATTGCCATTCGCGACAGGCGTGGATATTGGCGTCTGCGGAGAAGCCAGTACTGGATGGGATTGTCCACAAGACAATCGCCCGGATCGGTACTGCCCACCCATTCTGCGTACTCGTCACGCATGGAGGACGGTGAGGGCGCAGGTTGGGCGCCAAGTTTCCTAATTGAGGTCATGAAGTCATCTAGGTCCGTTGTCTTCCTTGCAGCTGTGGGCTCCTCGGGTATCGTATCTTGCTCGACCGCGAGGGTTCGGTACTCCTCCCATATGCGCCATTGCAGCAGTCAAGTGCAGAGCTGTCCCATTTTGGCCATCGGCTACAAATATCTCCCCCCGTAATATGGCAGATGCACCCAAAGATATATTTCACGATCAAACGTGTCAGGTAAAACACAAAAGAAAGCTTGGTGACACGGCCTGGAAAAGCAACTGCCCGTAATTAGCGACCACTCTAGGCCAGGCAGGGCTGGCTCCCAAAACTATTGGCCCAGGTCGCCATTGTGGGGCGTATCCAAATAATCAGATATCCAAATAAATTTGGGTGTTGCGATTTGATTTGATTTGATTCAGCGCAGGGGCAATTTGATTTGATTTGATTTGGATTAATTTGATTTAATTTGATTTGATTTGATTATGATTTATCTATTTGCAAGTCTGCTCCCGGCTTCGCAGCTAAGTAACGCTACAGTTAGAGGAAAGGGGGGACGCTCGCCACGGTGGAAAAGAGGCCACGCAATGCGGCAGCCGTATGAGCTTGTAATGCGGCTAGAAGATATGGAGGAAATGTGCGAATAGCTTCAAATTCACAATGTTCAACGCAAAGACTACAATCCGTGACTACCTTCTAATTGGTGTGTTGCACACAAATGCAAGTCTTGGCCGATTCGCGATGCTTCTACCTAATACGGTAAGGTGCACAGGGAGACTAAAAATCGGGCACAGGGAGCGGAAAGGGGGCCTTCCATGAATGGCATGGAAAAGGTATGGATATGGATCCATGTATTTCCATATTATTGGCTAAAAAAAGGGAAGCGGAGTTCAAAGGCAGGAACCGCCTCATGTATTGTCTTCATTGTCCCCAGGAGGATCCCTACAGCACTTCGGTTACCACCAATTTTCGAAAACACCTTGAGGGCAAGCACGACATCAATGTCGTAGAGAATTTATCTCCTCTTCAATCGTCCATCATCGAAGGGTTTGATCAACTCTATGGGCAAGCGCGGGATCTGGGCCGTGCGACAGAGATTGAGTCCCAGGTCTTCAAAGGCTACCTTGACGAAGAAAAGATCAATAAAGCGCTAGCTTGGTTAGTCGTCATACTAAACCTCCCATACCGAATAGTTGAATCTCGGGAATTTCACCTATCGCACGGAGGATGAGCAAGTGGGCATAAAGATCAGGGACTGGAAGACTCTTGATTCTGCTATCTAAGGTGGGAAAGAGGCGAGATCTTTATAGACTGCCTGAATATGAGAATGGAAGGGAATGGTAGTGAATGGAAGCATCTGATCGGATCATCTGGAAGCCACTGATGCGTTGATGATGCCTCCTAGAAGTTTCTGTGGGAAATGTGGAAACGGACTGTGCGAATAGGGGTCAGACTGTTGGAGGCTGATATCCTATGTGTGACAAGGGTTGGAACGCCATGGACCGGTACAGAGGGCAACTTGTCCAGGGGCCGTGACGACACCATGAGCTCTCTGGTGGAGATGGACCAAACAAGGATGGTCAAAGACACGAGCAAAAGGTGTCGTTGGTCCGTTCCACATTGGGATTCGTGGGCAACAGCGCGGCTGCCGGAAGCGTGACTCTCAGCTGTGACAATTCCGCAAGGTGGGTTTCGAACTGGCACGCAGAGCCAAGAACTTGGCTCTCTCCTGGTCGGCCTTATCGGGGCCATTGGTCGTGAGCGTCAAGAAAAGGCAGGATTGTCAGGCTGGAAGGGAAGGAACAGAGAATAGATCTCTGAGATGGGAAAAGATAATTAGTTACTGGGCAATTCCTTCGGCTTTTCCATCTCTTCAAGAATCATCTCCATCGCCCTTTCTAAAAGTGCTCTACCCTTGGGCCTTATCGCTGTCCAACTCATCAACAGAACACGGTTCTTGACCATCCATAAAAACCGCGCTCGCACCGCAACTCGCCAATTTGACAAATCTTCTGGACTCTTCCTGCCATGCTTCGTGCATACTTATTTCCATTTCGGCGCTGATGCTCCTGAAAACCGGAATGCCCACTCCCACACCCAACCTGGAGTCCTGGACGGCCCCCAAAAATATCTATCCTCATTCCTCACTGAGCTTTCGACAATACCAGTAACGGAGAAGAGATGATTTATCTCTGAGGTCGTGGAAATTGTGGTGGAGTCTTTTGTGAGGGTCCTGCATACACCTCTTGCAATTTTCGGTGATGATCTGAAAGGGGGTGGACTCCAAGTCGGCATGGCTCCTCATGGCTGCACTTCTTCTGATCAGTGTCGTTGAGGTGACCGCACCTAATCGAGCATGGGGTGACAAGATGTGATGCCATCGTCTTATTGCAGGTAGCTTGACTTTGTTGAGTCGCAGAAGACTTAGAAGACTTGAAATGGTGAAGACTTTATCGCCATTCGATGCCATATATACCAGAAATCCAGCTCCGCAGGTGCCTGCACACTCTCTGCGCCTACAATGCGAAGAAAAGCCAATAATACTTCACCTGAAATCTGTCGCAGGTCTTAAAGTCTCACTACTGTGCTATGTCGTTGGCCATGTCACCTGCAGCGTGTGCAGGGTGCAAGCAAGCCCGGTACAGGATCGATCAGGCCTGGCGTTGTTACTGTATGGCTGTGTCCATATATGCGCCATTTTATAAACCCTGCTCCGTAGCTGCCACTTTCTCTGCGCCCGACGCTTCAACTAGAAGCTGCCGCAGGATTTGAAGTCTCAGGAAGGCGTTTAGACCGGGCCAGGGCCACGCATTCATGTTCCCTGACACTTGTTGGTAGGGGGACATGCCCTTCTAACCCCTGCGAGCTGGACCACGGATGCTTGGCCCCTGTGATTACGAGGAACGGTTCGGATGGAGCCCAGCCTGTGAAATGGATGGTTTTAATTCGCCGGGAGGCTCTAAGGTTATGCCCAATAGGGCCTAGACGTCTAGCTGATTGCGCTTCCTCTTTTGTCTCGACCGCCCGCAAGCCCTTCCTCGCTTCCTACGCTCTGCATCCCTTAACCTCGTAATGTCAGTGATAGGCCCGCCACTTTCTCCAAGTGTTCGGCATCCTATCCTCAGCAGCTGAAGCGTGGTCTGTCGCTGTGTGAAACTTTTTGATGCTAGTGTTGCTCAGTCTGCATAGTCACCTCGACTGCTGCCCCTGCTCTCTGTCGAGCCTTCCCGTCGCGATTGGGAATTTGATCGCTGCTCTCACTGCTCTCGTCTAGCGCCCAATTCCCCCGGGTCGTGCACTGCTTGTCCTTCACAAAAGTACGACAGGTTTCCGATTTTTGTTCTCGCGCATTGCAGCATGATCTCGCGTTCCGCCATCCATTTCTTGCATCGGAAAAGAAGATGCTCCCTTGACCGCGGTCGTACAAAGCGGACTCCGTGAGCCCGGCCCATGTTGCCCACAAAGAGGCGAGATGGGGATCATGATAACCAAGACACAGCGGCCACAGTTGCATCGCCATTCGGGGCCCATTTCTATTGGCACACAGACAAGCCGAGATGCATTCGTCAAGCAGACAGTCGGTGCGGGCCAGACGCGCCAGGCGGGAAGGCCGATAACCCGGATATAATTCCGGCTGCAAGACTCGAGTCAGCATCCCTTGCGTCTTCTCCAACCGAAGGTGATGAAGAACACAGCCGCGCGTACGCCCGCCTCGGACGGAGGCCAGCTGTCTGTCAGGGTTGTCGAGGGTGTACGGATCGGCCGTCCGCAAGGCGAAGCGGCAGTGCCGGGATGAGGCCAAATGAATCCATCGGGCATGCGAGTCGCATGGAAAATGAGTGTCGTCGGAAGCAACGTTGAAGGTAGCACTCCAAGATGTTGGTGGACTATCCTACGACCCATTCAGCCAAAAGAGGGAGATGATGGACTGGGAGAAGTGCATGTAGTTGAATGGTTGACGCCAAGGCCATCACGTCAAGTTGCTTCTGGAGAAAGTTGTCACCAGGGGTGAAATCTTGCGGGACGGAGGAAGAGGGCACGCCGCTTCGGCCGAGAGCAGACTCCGAGGAAACGTATCCGAGCCAGGACTCGGAGGCAGAGGACGACGGGGCTGCAAGTTGAAGGACTACTCGTCCCACAGACCCACGTAAAGTGGGTCCTCACCACCTGTCTGTGTCAACCACCTGGCTGTGTCACTTGACGGCTTCAACGCCAACTTAATTTAATAATAAAACGGCAAAAAAAGTTAAAAATTGATGCATACGATAATTGAATACTGGCCGCAATAGTCTACCTATTTTTGACTTTTGTAGCTTATAAAGCTGATCGTTGGGCTTCTTTTTCGGCTTTCTTAGCCGCCCAGGCTGCCCGTCGCTCCTCGAGCTCAATCGCCCTTTTCTCCCTCTTTTGCTTCGCCAGTACCAACTTTTCTGCTTTTGCAATGCGAATATCTTCCTTTGACTTCGCAATAGCCCTCCCTTCGTCTACAGTCAGTACTCCACCGCTTTGAAGGTGGCGGTTCTTGTATTTCTTCCGGCCTTGGCGTTGCTGCTCGGCAAGCTTGGTATTGTACAGATCGACCATCGTTTGCTTTAACTCGTGGCCTTGGGAGATTGCACCTTTAACGTAGCGTTGAAGGTTATGTACGAAGACCTCCTTCTCAATATCATCAATTGGGTCAAACTCAAGGAGACGTTGGCCAACTGATTCAAACTTCCGTACGGTATGGGGGGTACCAAAAGGGGATGAATACGGCTCTGCAGGTAGCTCTGTCGGCGGCGTCTGGTCCCGTACCCTCTCTTTGAGTCTCTCGAGGATTGGCTTTGGATTGAATGGGTGGATTCCTGTTTTTTTGAATGCCGAGAGGATTGTAGACTCCTTGAAGGCTTTGACGCGGATTGATTGGATCATAGCGAGGAACTCCAGCTTGGTGATTTTACTCGCACCACTGCGAATAGCAAAATCGACTGCCCGACTGTGGTAATGTTTATACGGCTGAAATACCACGACGTCAAGCGGTTGAAGGAGATGCGTAAGATGCGGAGGCAATGCAAAGAGCACAATATTATGGGCTTCAGCGTACTCGATAAGGTCAAGGATATGGTGGGAGCCGTGGCCGTCAAGGAGCAATAGCCTCCAAGCACCTTTGCTCTTTGCATGCTTATCGAAATGTTGAATCCACGCTAGATTGAGCTGATCGTTCGTAAATCCCGTTTCCGTAACACCAATAAGGGTATCGCCATCTAGCTCCTTGATGGCGTACCACTGTTCGAGGTGGACCTTGCCGGATAGGATCAAAAACGCAGGGATGTATCGACCATCGGCAGAAATCGCTTCAACGGCTGTTGCCGACTCCCCTGTTTTCCTCAATACCAAAGTATTGCGATCGCCTTGATTTCGTGACGACAACTTGGTCCCTGCCAATACCAATACGGAAGCCCGTCTCGTCCATATTCCAGATATCAGCCGGGTTAATCCCGTACGAGGCAATCGTCTCGTGGAGCTTCTTGAAGTACCGGTACTCGGTAACGTGCGGGACTGATTCGGCAAGCTTGCGTTGGTTATCGAGTACCTTTTTGCTTCATAATATGATATCCCTTGCGTTTAATAAAACGGGATATCCAGTTTTTGCCAACAAAGCATTGGGAGTCGAAGGGTTCGTTGCGGGTACCATCAGGGCCGACCGTGGAGCTTAGAACCCGATTTGCTGCATCGCGTAATAAGTCCTTCCGCACCGCAAGTCCTATACGCTCAAGACGATCGATATACAGATCGATTGAGTCCTCTTGAGCTGGCGATAGCCTCGTATGCGTTGCTTTATGGCCGCTGCGAGGTTGGATGCCGTGAAATCGCAAGCGGAGTCGTTCGCGTGGAACCCCAAATTCCTTAGCCGCAGCGCGAAGGGACATATTGGGATTTGCCTCAATGGCTTTAATAGCCTCGGCTACGCGCCTTTCAAGCGTAAGCTCTTTATTCTTCATAATGTGCCGTTGTTGAGGTCAAGATAGAGGCTTGAAGCGGTGAAGTGACACAGCCAGGTGGTTGACACAGACAGGTGGTGAGGACCCACTTTACGTGGGTCTGTGGGACGAGTAGCTAGCTTCTTGCGTTTCCTTGAGGAAGAGCCTGTTCAGCTGGGGGTAGACAAGGTGCACACTAGTGCCGCACAAAGGAAGGCGTCGACGGTACGTGGCTTTTGTCAGGGATTCCGCGATGCGAACACGGCCAATACAGACTAGCATGCTGTGCTACCGCAAGCGGACAAGAGTAGAGTGGAGGGAGATAGCATTGGCTCAGTGGCTGTCAATTTGTAATCCTAAGGGTGCTAGAATTGCTTCCCTAAGGACAGGTGAGTAACGGTCCGTGCAGAGTGCACGTGATGCTTGAACCGAGGTGGCTTGTTGTCGGCGGCCTCAACTTCATAGCCACCTTGGCTATGAGCACTTGTTCCCGGACGAGCTCAAGGGCGTTGCGCTGGTAGAGAAGTTGATCGCGGTAAACTCGTGCTACGGATTTGCCACACGGCGTATAATCCCGGGCGAGTAGCGGCAGGCCGTGAGGTAGCCAAACCACGTCAAGGTCACGTCATGGTGTCCCCAAACAATGTGCAGCAGCTGGTGACGAAAGTGCTGCTGCACCGCTCTTGCACGTGTCGTGGCAGGGGTGGAAAGTCAACTTCAAGTGATTTATCGGGTCTCCTGTCCGTGAGGCGGCGAGTTGTTGAGGGTGCGCTTGTTTGGCTGAGGAAGATCAATCCTCGCTATGCCGAGATCGAGGTCAACTCGGCAGGGATGATAGTTGGGACCGCACAGGGTGTCGTCGTGGGTGTACGATTGCCTAGAAAGGGCTGCACATCGCCAGCTATACTGTCCCTCCTTAAGCGCATATTCTTTTCGATGGCCTGTCGGATCTCTCCGACTTCCGCCTTGCTTCTGTCCTTATATTCGACTCTGGACGTATCAAAAGTACAGTACAAGGTCTCAGTGGAGGCGCTTGGTGCTGTGCGAATCAACGAAAGGGTGCGGACGTTTGTCGCCTGGCTCGGGGGTGATGTGTGGCCACATCTGCGTATGACATTCGTGGACCGGTCTGGTGGCTCGCGAGGATCGGCTACTCGCGATCACATTAAGCTTGTCGCGCATGTGCTTCAGTTCATCGCCTGTCTCCTTCACTTGTCGGTTTAGTTCTTGGATGATTTGCAGCTGTCCAGTGCCGCTGCTGCTGACCTTCGCGGCTCGGTCGTGCTGTTAGCCGCAGCCTCGTCCAGTGTCGCTCGCGTCGTGCTTCTGGCGCTTTTCACTTTCCTATTCGCCGGGTCTTCAAGCTGTCGTGCGGTGTTTCGGACCTTGCTCCTAAGCTTGACTCGACCTTTCGCGGGCGTCGGAGTGAAGGGCGCCCTGCCCCACCATGATGACGGCCTCCGCCCGCCCTTCAATATTCACCAGAGTTGATAGCCGGAAAATATTTTTCCCGGCCTTAGGCGCCAGCCCGATTGTTGCACAACCGTCACCTTCAGGCACCGATGGACCTTTCTGTCCATCAACCTCTGCTGCACAGTTCTGCTTATGGCGTCAACGACATTCTCTATTGAGGACGCAAGGAGATTCCTTCTTGAAGATGGCTTCTACCACTTGTTGGACCCGGAACAGCAGGAACATAAAATGGCCATGGCGCAGGAAGACTTTGCCCTGTCGTCGGAGTACGGCCTGGACTTTTGCAAGCTCAAAGTCCTTGACGACTTGGTCAGTAATGGCGAGACATCCTGGTGATATTTACCTAACTCGGATAAGCGCATTCGATCAATCCTTGAGGCTTTCTTTGAATGGTCCGGCCTAGGACTCTATCTACGATACAGAAGAGATCCAGGTCACATATTCTCCTTTAGGAGGGGTGGCGCAAAGGCTGGTTTGCGCGTCCTGCTTGTTCAGGTGTGGAGCAAGGGATCTCGAGCGGCATTCTACAGCGGTTCACATTTGCATTCGTTACCTACCGTTCGAGCAGCAAACGACTTGTTCGAAATACCATCTGCTGCCTTGAGGAGAGTGGGCTGTGAAGGCAAAGAGACTGAATTTTCGAATGGCGGCTTGTGAGTTTATCCGCCGCCGCCGCCCCGGCATTTACGTTCTGACGTTCGTTTAGAGTTATTCTCGACGCTCGACTGTCTTTCGAGATCAAGCAAGGCTCCGCAACCATGTTTGCATTTACAACCAGGGACGAACTGGCGACATGGGCTAAAATGATCCTGCCGAAGTCACCGGGCTTGGCGCAAAAGGTCGCCGAAATGGAGAGCACAACTATCGGCGTAAATTTTGCATTTGAGGAATGAGGAGTGAACTCTGAAGACATGGCTTAACAGAAAAAAGATTATTGCTCTTGGTACCCTGCAGCTTCATCCTGTGATTCCTGGAATTCAACACCATTGTTTTGCATACTTCGAGACCGATCAACTGTTGGAAGCAAAGGTGAAGTCATGATGTCTGTATGAACTTGATCCAACCCCCCCTGGTATTGCTGCGCCGTATGGTTTGGCGGAAAGGTCATGTTCCAGAAGACGGGAGCGCTATAGTCTTCATACGGTTGGTCCAGAAGTTGCGAAGTCCGGTACAAGGTCGGCACTGGAATATTTGCAAAGTCGCCACCGATAGCCATGGCCTCATCACAGCTAGCCGATGGCCTAAGAGTGGTGACTGATTGCATGGAGTTGAGGACGTGGCCACGGCCCGTGCCTTGTTGGACGTTAGAACGCTGGCGAGGAAAATTCCGGAAAGAGTTCCATACCTATGAGGTCATGGAAAGGAGCTGGTGGCAATGAGTTCCTAATTTTCTCATCGACGCTGTTAGTTTCTGCTCTTGTCCTGGTCCTTTGAGCCCTCGAAGTCGTCGGGCTCAATTCCATGTTTGCGACATCCAAAGATCGTTTCTTGGTCCTATTTTCCCCTCTTTTTGATGGATGCCGAGATCCTGCAAGTAAAGGACGCAGCTCATCATCGACCCGTTTACGGAGCCCATCGCAGATCTGGGCTGTATACGAATCTTTGCCTCATGCCCATCTCTATGGCTGCTTGCATGCCCAATGTACTGACTCGCCCTGGTGAAAACTCGGAAGCAATACACGCATACTTCTTCGCACCGAACGTCTGCGCTTGGAGTATTAGCAATCCGCCTATCCAGAAAATGGAACGAGTGTTACGTGTTGCAAAGTGCCGCCGAAGTCTTTTCTTTTGTCGAAGGGCTCGTTTCGCCTGCAGTCTTTGTAGGGGCAGTAGTGTGATCGCGACCATGCGATGTTCGTCGCTGCATATGCTACTTCACCGTCATCGTCCTCTCCGTCGCAGTTATCGCCATTCCCATTATCGTTGCCATCATTTCCATCACATGGCGTATCGTAGCTATCGATGAGCTGACTTGAGTGGGCTCGACATTTGGCGATCTCGGCTGATAGAAAGCTTTCCTTAGACTGGAGAAAGATCAGCACGGCCAGTGAAACGGCTAGAGATAACTTACTCGATATCCTTCAATATGGGTGCGTAGCTCCTGTTTGTTGGAAAGCAGCCCAAGCAAATCTGACATTGTCGCTGCTGATAGATCTCATCCGACATGTTCTCGTCAATTTTGGAGGACGAAATGGCAAGACAGTCAGCTGGGCAGAAAATTAAGTGGAGGATACGGGTATCACATGTTGCCCTTGTGGCCAATAAGCAATTTGCTGAGGTAGCGAGCTGACAAATTTCCCGCCTTTAGGTTTCTCCACCTCTCATGTCGGGAAGCATTCACCCTTTTGATATCCTTGCTAAGAACTATTTGACTCGCCTTGACTCGCATCTGCTTACAACTGCCTGTGCCGAAAACGAAAATGTCCAAATGTTCCACATGCGCCGGTCATGGCGTGGTCAAGGGAATCATATGCCCTGATTGCGGCGGGGAAGGAGAGACCGTGAAGTGCAGGCGGGCATCATCTTGTAGGTGAGCGCGTCTGGAACGCACGACAGCCGACAGATTACCGCTTCGTATTTTACTAATTCATCTGTCAGCATAATCACGAGCCAAAAGAGCAAGAGCAAGACGAGCGGAAAGACGAACAGCCAGAGGAACAGCCAGAGGAACAGCCAGAAGAGCAGCTAGCCAAGCAGCAGGACGAGCCCTTAGAGCAAGACTACCGACATGCAACAAGTGCCACACAGAAGGTCATAGGAGAGGTGCAAATGTTGCCCATTATTATTATTATTATTATTTTGTATTGCGCCCGGAGGGTTCCCCCATAGAGCCACTACGCTAAGCTACGTACCTACTATACATGGTTTCTCCTCACCTAAAGCCCAACGCTTCTTTCCATCTGTTTCCAGCCTCGTTCGCTGTGACATGACAGGCCTGCTTGAAGGTCAGTTTCTCCAAGTGTTCAGCGTCCTACCTTCAGCGACTGAAGCGCGGTCTGCCAAGTTGAAGGCTGTTGTGTTAGTATGGTTGTTCTTGATCAGTACATGGCCCGTTAACGGTCCATACTGAAGCGTTTTGTCGCCAATGCGAACTGTATCGTCGCACGCACAGCCCCAATATCAGGTTGCCACTTGTCGTCGTCTGACTCTGCCTTGCCTCCTAGGAAGAAAGACAAGTCTCCCACCTTTCCGCGCGCATATCGCAGCATGGTCTCTCGTTGTACCGTCCATCTTCTGCATCGAAAGAGGAAATGCTCCACTGTTTCTGCAGACTGCCCACAAGTGCACTCATCCGATTCCACCGCCCCGATTTTGCAGAGGTAGCTATTCAGCCGCGATTTGCCAGTTCGAAGTTGTATCAACACTTCGGATTCCTTTCTTGTTAGCTCGTCGTACAACTTGCGGGTGTGCTTGCCCGGCAATGCCTTATCGATGCGCTTTGAGTGCTTTCCAACCCTTCCGGGATCTGACGAACGCGAGCGTTTTCGTTGAGCAGCAGTCGTAACGTCGTTGATCTTGCTTGAAACGTTGCTGGTTCGGCGATGCACTCGTCTCGCGTCGCTCTTTTCGCTTGCATTTTGGCCAGTGGCCCAAGGGTGAACTCCTCATTCTTTGCAGGCACCCAACGAAGTCTGACTCTGCAGCCTCTTTTCGCCAGATACTCAACAGATCCGTATATCGCCCGTATCGTGCACTGACCAGACTGTTGCCGTGGCCGCCCGATGACTTGCAGGACAGAGCGGTTGCTCGTCACAACCGTGAGATCTCGGTCATGAAGACCGAGAGGTACACACCTCAGAGCCGTGGCGATTGCCTCGAGTCCTGCTGTGTAGGCATTCTCTCATCACTGGAGCCGAGAGTGACGGAGTAGCTGGCCAGCACTTCGTCTACGCTGTCGCGGGAAGCATCCCGAACGACGCCTCCCAACCCGACCTTGCCTTTCCTTTGCGAGCTGGACGTCGCAATAGTGATGTCCTCCGGGTCATCCGACTTCAGCACCTCCACTCGGTCTGTCTCATCCGTTGCCTGCACTCGTTCGTCCCACGGCGCCAGTGCGAACTCGTGGATGACTTCCAGGCGCTTGGTATCTATTCTTCCCATCGCCGAGGCGAGCTTCTGCATTGGCGACGCATACCTCCTGTTCAGTTTGAGCCTCAACGATGTCAGAGGATGCGTCTTCGGAGCGTCCGCATCCTTATCCAGAATTTCGCTGCCGCTTGAGCATGCCGTTCTCGGAACGATTGCACGCCGGCCTCGGCCTCGGCCACTGCCGTTGCCACCGTGCGGAAGCCTCCCGTGACAGCCTGGGCTCCGATTCGCTGGGCCCTGCCAATCCACACCGCTTCTTTCACCCCGCACGCGTGCGACCACACGTTTGAGGCATAGTCCATGGCTGGCGCCACGGTCGCGACGAACAGTTGCCTCGCCATCCGTGGCGAAGCCATCTTCAGTCGTTTCAAACACATGGCCGCGGCCAGCCCCTTGGCGGCCGCTCTGGCGATGTGTTCCTTGAAGCGAAGCGCTTTGTCCATGATGACTCCCAACAGCTTCACGTTGCTCTTCGGCTTGACATCGTTTCCTTTGATGATGAGAGGCAGGTCGCTGTCACGCTCCGCGATGCGTGTGAAGTGGATGAAGGATGTCTTCTCTGCTTCAAATGTGGCGCCGCTGCGCTTCTCCCAATCAAGCGCATCATCGATAATCGACTGGATACCATCTCTGTTTGACTCTGCCGTTGGCCCCGTGACCCAGGCAGAGTAATCGTCCACGAAGGCGATGGAGCCACCGTTATTACTGATCCGTCTTTGCACCAGGTCTGCGTTGAAGAAAAGAAAAGCCACTGGCGACAGAGGAGATCCCTGGGGTAGGCCGGCCTGCGGCAGGGTTTGTTGCTCGGATGTGTGCCCGTTGACAACCACCGACGCGGTCCGTCCCGAGCAGAATGCGTCTATCCAATTGACCAGTCGACTCGGGATGCCTCGGGCTTTCATCCTTTCGAGCATTCGCTCTTTGCACACTCCGTTGTATGCGCCTTTGACGTCAAAGCTGATGAGGCTGAGCACTCTGCCCGTTCTCCAGGCCTTGTAGATTCGCTCCTGCAGAAGCACGAGTGCTTGATCTGCGGACCTGCGCTTCCGTGCACCAAAGTGGTTCGCGGGCAAAAGCCCTTGAGCCTCGACTGCATAGCTGATACGTTCCGCGACGACTGCCTCCAGAATCTTGCCAAGCGTCGACAGGAGAGAAATCGGTCGCCACGCCTTGGCCAGGGTGTAGTCTCCTTTATCTGGTTTCCTCAGAGGGATGATCTTGGCCGTTCGCCATTGATGAGGCACGACGCCCTCTCGGAGCGATGAGCTGAAGAGCGTCCACACCCGGTGCTTGACCACGTGCCAGAGCTTCTTCCACACGATCGCAGGAAGGCCATCCTCACCAGGCGCTTTCCAGGGCTTCGCCGCCATCACCTTCTCCTCAATCTCTTGCAAGGTGAGGTCTGGCATGGCTATTTCTTCTCTCTGCGGACGTTCACCCTCCGGCTCGATCCTCGTTGGCAGAGGCGGAAAGAAGGTGCTCAGGAGTTCCTCGGCTTGCTCGCCCTTGCTTTCGGTGATCGAACCGTCGGCTCTCTTCAGCGGGGCACCTTGTCATCCGTCATCTCCGTACCAGGCTTCAGATACTTGGCAGCCCTCCAGATGTTGCTCCTTCGATGACGAAGTCATCCCAATGGGCCTTCTTTTGTCTCCGCAAATTGTCGTGGTACTCCTTCGCAGCCTCCTTGGCGCGCTGCTCCAGATCCGGACGCGATTGACCGGCTCTTCGCTGCGCCCTTGCTTGATTGCGCCAATACGTGTACGTCCGACGGAGTCGCGTCAGGTCCTTTGTCCACCATCGCTTCGCGTATGACGGCGGCTGGGCTCGAGGAGTCAGATCTCGAAGCGCCTTGGTGACCACCCGCATGAGCTGATCCGCCTGCGTCTGCACCCCCACAGTCCACGGAAGAGGCCGAAGCTCGTCCTCGACCCTGGTTGCGATGGCGATCCACGGCGCGTTCTTGAGCATCAGGCGCTGCGGAAAGGTACGCTCCGGCACTCGAATGTCGAAGGTCGTCTGGATCGCTCTATGGTCTGATCCGTGCTCTGTTGGATGAATCACGCAGGATGTCAACTCGTCCGCCAGTTCCGCCGATGCCAGCACCAAGTCGATGGTGCTCTCCTCGTCCGACCTTTGCCACGTTTTCGTTCCTCTCGGGAGAAGGCTGCTAAGACCAAAGTCGTCCATCAGGTCAATGATGGGCTGGCCCTCCCTGTCTGCTCGCTGACACTTCATCTCCGCCCCAGAGGAGGTCGTGGCGGTTGAAGTCCCCGCCAAAACCACAATGTTGCCCATTGGTATGGATTTATTTCGCCCGGAGGATACTTCCTATAGGGCCTAGACGCTCTGGCTATTGACGGTTCGATACACTGATGCATGACACCTCAAGCCCCACAGATCATCTTACGCTGCGCCAACCGTTCCACTGTTCGCTTCATGACAGACCTGCTTGAAGGTCAATTTCTCCAAGTGTTCAGCATCCTATTCTCAGCAACTGAAGCGTGATTTGTCGAAGTTGAAGCTGGTTGTGTTAGTAATTGATGGTGGTTGGTACGCCGATTGTACTTGACGTATTCTTCTGTTGCAATTAACTTTTTTTTTTGTTTTCGGTTCTTCCTTTGAACTTGACGTTGTGAACTGGTGTTCTCTCATGACGTTGGCCCTGATGACGAGCGGGAACCCGGTGTACCCTGTTCACCCAGGGGTGCCTCCAGCCGGTTTCGAACCGACCTCTCTGCAGAGCAGAGACTCCAGACGTGTCACCACTACGCCATGGAGGCAATGTTGCCCATTAAAAGGGTAGCACAAAGCGAATCCCAATAAAGTGGGGGCGGGCACGATTAGCCTGTAGCGAGAGGCAGGAAAATTTACCGTGGACGGTACTGACTCAGCAGGGACCCGTGGCTTGTACGGACCCGTGTAGTTAGTTAACTTAGTTAACTTAACGTAATCCAGCCCCTTCCCGGTGTCGCGAAGCAGATTTGATGTTCAATTGAACATGTCACCTGAACAACAGGTGGCTTGATTTTTCGTGACAGTTATGAGCCCGGGAGGAGGGGCTAACCCCTCCTGGAACTTCCGGTAACTGCGCACGACCACCTAGGCTAGCGCGCACCCCGACGGAGTCAGTGTTCGAGACCTGCACCTGTGTAATGCCATAGCCAGAGCCCGAGGCACTGTCGCAGAGTAGCCCGAATGGCACAAGGCAGAGAAGGCCCAGAGCTAAAGCGAGTGGTCTCAGGAATCCCAGGCTAGCCCGTGATCCCTGAGGGGGTGTGTCGCGAAGCAGATTTGATGTTCAATTGAACATGTCACCTGAACAACAGGTGGCTTGATTTTTCGTGACACCCGGTCACACCCCCTACCCGCTCAAAAATTTCCCACCGACGCGACCCGCACCTCACGTCACGACCAACCGAACACAACAGACGGCAATTGATTCCAAGAGACAAACAAGCAAGTCAATTCAGAACTGTCTATCTATTACACGTCCGGGCATTGTGTTCAAAATACCTGCATTTACTATACCGTGGTGGTGCACGCTGTCTTAGGACGCATAGCTCTTCTTCTCTCTGCCGTCGGGCCTGCTCCTCCTCGACAAGTTGTTGCCGTGCATCATGGTTGCCATTCCTGTCAACCTGAACGCGTAACCGTGACAGAACCCGGGTCAGATTGAATGGGGAAAGGCCTGTGGCCATGAATCCACTTCGGATGTTCGACGGGGGAGAGTGCTTGTCGGCGGGCCTCGACGTATAGAGGCAGGAAGTCCTCTTTCTCGATGTGGTTGACCCCTGCGAGCATCTTCTCTTGAACCTTCCGCCCATATATCGTTTTAAGGGCGAAAAGCGCCCGACATCCAGAGGCTGTAAGAGATGTGAGGAATGAGCTGGCATTTGGAGTACCACAATGGCATTATCCGTACAGTACTTGTCAAATTCCGGCGTAACATGGCTGCCGTGCCCGTCGAGAATGAGAAGTCGACGTGTTCCAACCGTACGGCGCCGTGTAGGGGTGATAGATGAAGGTGAATTTTTTGAAGATTTTGAATGAAGGATGAATCAAATGAATTGAATTTTTTGGATCTTGATTCAAAATCTTCAAGCTCCATTTTCGCGATTCAAGTTGGGTTCGGGCCAATTCAGGCCATTCATGAATGGTTTGAAGGGATCCCCTAAACGAAGTGAATTTGGTGCGTACCTAAGCGATCGCAAAGATACCTCAGAACCGCCAATAAGTAGTATATAGTTTTATAGCCTTCTGAGAAACCTTTCGATAATCCAGAATACTACAAAAAGAATACTACAAAAATTAACTTACATAAATACTGATCCGCATGTCCTAGGAAAATAGACCGAAAATAAGCACTTTTCAAAAGCTTTGCCGAATCCTCAAAATACGTCGGTACAGCGCGTTCGAATCCGCCATTGTACACGGCTACACACTCGTAGAGCCTCAAGCCTCCGAAGCCTCCATTGTATCTGGGCGGGGTTGATATCGCAGATTCATCGGCTTGGGGGCAGGAGGTTTGGGGTAGGAGGTTCGTTGGGAGCCTCAGCCTCGGTGGGAACTTCCGCAGGAGCAGGGGGTTGAGAAGGAAGATTCTCGTCTGAACGCAGATTAGCATATACACATACAATGAGGGTATATTCATACCATCTACCAGCTTGCCCGGAATGTGGTCTGGTCTCCAAATAATACTATTGGCAAATGGCAGGATGTCATACTCCATGGCCGCCTTGATCAACGCCTGATCGATCTTATCTTCCTGAGTATAAGAACTCCGTAAAAGCGTTAGTACTCGCGCTGTATCTGCCTTCAAAGCGTGACGGCGGATCCCGAATTCGTCTCTACAACCACTGAAGAGGCGTTCCACGTCAACTTCAGAGCCAGAGACAGAGAGAATATCACGCGCCGCCGTAGCCAAAAGTGGCCACTCGTCCTTGTGTTCTTTCCACCACTTCCGTAAGAAGTCTGGAGACTTTGCAATAGACTCGTCGAACTCTGTTCGAGGAGTTGCAAACCACCGTTCAAGCTCCGAAATAGGGATCGCCGCGCCGGCCTCCGCCTCCTTCGCCTTCTTCATTTGGATGGCTCTCCACTGCGCAATGGAGACTCCTTGAGGACGCTCAGCTGGTCTGGATTGGCTCATAGATGAGTTTGTGGCATCCAATGTTGCTAGCTCCGGCCACTCCGTTCTGAAATACTTCTTGACTTTAGCTATAATCTCAGAGTATTGATCCGGTATCATCATTTCTAGTTGGTGAGTTTTATAACGCGGATCCAGGATGTGAGCTGCGAATAGCATCATTTGATCGTCAAGCTTCTTCATATATGTAGCGTGTTTTGTTTTGCCCTTCGAGAAGGCGTTTCGAATGGACACATCAAGGTCTGAAAATTCGCCAACTCCTTCGACTACATCATCAAGGAGAGCTTCCAAATCCCAATAGATATCGAGACTTTGTGAGATCGACGGCATAACTTCGGAGACTTTCAGAGTGTGTTCTTTAAACGGCTTCAGAACCTTCCGTAGTTGGTAGAGAGCGACAATCTCTCCCGATAAGGGCAGGAGGCACTTGACTTGCGGGTGAGTATCAACGAACTCGGTATACTCTGCCTCAAGCTCAAGGAATTGGTCAATCATGTCGTAGGTCGAATTCCAGCGAGTGTCGACATCGTAGGTTGGCTTCCGATAGTGCGTGGGGCATGCATTTGAAGTCTTGCTCTCTAGGCCCGGATCTCAACATCCACAGATTGAGGAGGCGAATTTTGGCAATCCCACTCCGACTAGAGTCTCCCGGAATGGTGTAGTTGTTGCTTTTATTCTCTTCGTCCCACTTATCAAGCATCTTCTTGGCTTCCTTCGCTGTGCCTGCCTTGAGATCTTGCAAGACGCCATCACAAATGAGTGAGGTAATATGAGCTAGACAGCGGATCCAACTCTTCTTGCCGTGGAAGCGCATGCGGGGCCTCCCTATTGGACTCACCTTGTCGTCGAATTTGGTCTTGAGAGAATCGTACAGAGACTGACAGAGCGTCCCGTTATTAGCGGCGTTGTCTCCCGTAATGGCGAGAAGCTTGGGCTTGAGCCTGAGCTCCTCAAGTGTCTTCTCAACTATCTCAGCTAGTTGTTTGCCAGTGTGAGATCCTTTGAGCTCGATAAACTCAATAACCTCCTCTCTCTCCTCAAACTCCGGCGTAATCCAGTGCGCAATAATAGCGAAAATAGGCACCCGGTTCGGTGCTGTCCAGATATCGAGGGTGAACGAGATGGTATCACAATTGTACTCAAGCTCAATCTTCAGCTTCTCCCTGCGTTCGACAAAGTCTGTGTAGATGATTGCGTAACGTTATACGACTCCTGTACACACAGGTTGTATTGTGAGCCAAGAACATCTCTTGGAAAGCAGGAGTCTCGACAACAGAGAAGGGTTGTCGGTGTTTTACAAACCACCGGCGGATAGACTCCTTTGCTGTGAGCCTTGCTCTTTGCCTAGGTCGACCGCTCCATGCATCTGCCTCTGTATAATCTCCTCCACCAATGGCGCGGCCGTATCCATTGATTCGAGCGTGGTGAGACTCCTTCGTAATACTGTGCGTTTTTAAATGGTCTCCCATGCCAGAGGTAACCCCTCGGCGGTTCGATTCAAGGACCTGGAATACCTTCCGAAGAGTAGAGGGATTTTGAAGGCATTCTATACAAGTCCACCGGAACTCTTGGAAGATCTTCGGTCCATCCCTGTACTCCGAGTAAAAGCTTCTGTCTATAGCTTCCCTCTGCATGTACCAATAAACGTGGCTGTTCTTGTCTCTCTTCTTGCGAACATGCTTCTGTTTGTTGTCGGCCCACTTCTTGATAAGTCCGGCTTTCTCTGCGAGCGTCATATGGCTATTGTCCAATGGCGGCTCCGGTGTATCCGTGTCGGGCATGTCATCATCTGACTCACAGTCAGGATGGCCCGGGGGCGCGCAGACAATTGTATCTTCGCCAGTTGAAAGAGGAGACGAAGGAGCCGGAGTTGTGCTACGATCAGGGCGCGCGCGGGGTTCTGAGGTTGAATTGAGGACGCTCAATGCTGGCATAATTCTGCATTGGCAATTTACGCCGGGTCCTAGGGGCGAAGAAGTTCGCTGCGGCATATGTTTTTGATTCGGCAGGGGCCATACTATCTTATGTATCACGTTATAATTAGCTATCCACTCGTAAGGTAATTAAATAAGGAGGGTAGATTGGAGAGTTTCACCTGATCTTGGCTCAAGGGCTCGAGAATGGGCGCGACACAGGTAGTCGGAACGAC